ATTGTTTTCCTTTTAAAATATTTATTATTTGCCGTTTTATAAAAATACGGTTATATATATATATATATATATATATATATATATATATATATATATATATATATATATATATATATATATATTTTTAGTTGGATTGATGTGAGTTTGTGACCCTGGGTTTCACGCTTTTGCGATCGTCAGACTTTATATACAGACGCTTTTTACACACACACTTTTCACACACACGCACACACGCACACATATTTATATATATATAATTTATTAATGATGGGATTAGGTAGTACTTTTAACGCATTTACTCAACATGCAAAACTTACAAATAAACATAAACTGCAAACATGCAGGAGCTTTATTTAACTTGCTAACATGCATAAACAATTAGAAACTTAATATCTACAAGTAACAATAGCTATATAAAGAAAAATGAATGTAGAGTATTCAGCATAACTATAGCAGGATAGACCGGGTGTAACATAAAAACTGTCCAAATCGTGTAATCGTATGGGAGAATTGTCCGTCACATAAAATGTTAAATACCTTAAAAAAAAAATAGCTAAATGAATTGATTATCTCTTTTGCAGATTTTCATGCAAGATGTTTAGCCATCTTGACACCATTCATCGTAAGAATCACAGATAAATTCTTTGTGCTATTCTGCTAGAAAGAGACAGGTTAAAATTGTTTTCTGTAAGCCCCACTATGTCTTCCCAACTGAGAAATGGCGAAAGAAAAAAGAGAATTCAGTCTTTCAGTAATGGTACCATCTTCAAAGTTCATTCAAGAACCATCAAGAGAACGGCAAGTTTAAAAGAGAGAGAGAGAGAGAGCAGCAGAGAGGAAAATTCAATCACAAGGTCACCACAGGATTAGGGATCATCATTTCAACTTAGTGCTAAGTGTATTCTATTTGTTCGAAATCTAGTCCAATAGTGTTATAAAAACTTCCGAGAATTCCAGTAAGATATCTTTAATTATTTCTAAGAGACAACAGTTCAAATCTTAATCTAACAATTGGACAATTTTGCAGTTACACGATTTGGACAATTTTACTGTTACGCCTGACACAGGTATTGTGTTTTGTTAGAAAAAATAAACGCCAGCTGAACATTTTCCTTCTCTTTACAGACGCCATAAAGATCTTGAAGGCACTTGATTGCCCGTTCAGCACGTTGATTTGTTCTGGGAATTTACAGTCTTTGTGGTTCTGGATTCCAATCCATGTCACAATGTTTAATACATTTTGTGGGCCATTCTGAAGTTTCCATAACCATCATGCCATCCTGCTGTTTCAATAATTTCTTCTTTACGGTACTTGAAATTCTTCTGAAGCTGTTCTTAATTATTTCCAAGTTCCTGGATAAACGGATATTCGATATTGGGTTATGTGTAGTTTCCTACAATTTTATCAGCCATTACGCCAAGCGCCCGGTTAAGAAGATAATGATGACACCTTCCATTTACTTTTGAGTAAATATCCTTGTAACTGAATGGCAAACCCAGTTCTGTTTCCAGTGTTCACATTCGTAGTGTCTGCAACAATCATCTTTATGCTCTTTTACAAATTATATTCATACAGAACAATTGTTATTCGTTAGACAAAAGTACCCGCTTTGTCATTTAGTAGATGTAACGCTTCTAACATATTTTCTCTTCTTGAATTCTTCAAAATAATTACTTGGCCCTCAAATCGTTTACCAACACAATACAAAAAACAATTTTCTAAGTAGTTTTCTTCATTTCTTCTTTTAACTTTATCTGTTTCTTTAATATTGGATCTGTAAATACCAGATTGAGGGGTCTCAACATCAATCATTTCTTGAGATAATTGCTGAGGAACGTTTGCTGCTTTTCAAGTTGATACGTTTGGAGATGTTACTAATTTGGTTACAGTTTTGGTTTTGCTAGAATTCTTTTTTTTCTTGTGGATTGTTCTTCAGAAATTTTGGACTATCATATTCACTCTCTGATTGGGTCTCTGATTCAATCTCTTATTCGAAAGTTGAAGTTGTTGATTTTGCTATTGTTTATGTTCGCTCCAAAATTACTTCTCTTATTTTGGATGGATGAATAGTTTTGGAACACGCAGTCTTTCTATTTGTATATCCATCTTCGTTGCTTTCGATCTGAAGATGATACAACCGTCTTGCCTCACTACTTAGCCATTCGCCTTATTGTAGGAGTTCAGCACTTGATCCAGTTTTTCTTGTGTGACTTATGTTGATAACTTTGGGAAATTTAATTTCTTTTGCCATAAACTTGTTACTTCTTTAGCGACTTCTTTTATACGTTCTTTCTTTCTGTCAATGGCTGCCCAAAGAAAAAGATAGCGACCAAAAATTTGGATTCTCGGTGGTTTGGTTTATTTTGATTAAAAGACATCAACGTCAATGAGTTAATTAATGCCGACAATATTTTTAGGATAGATTCGTATGAATAGAATATGTATTATTTGGTTTAGATTGGTTTGGTTTATTTTGTTTAACGGCATATAAACCTCAATGGGTTATTTAATGCCAACAACATTTTTAGGGTAGATTCGTATTAATAGAATATGTATTCTTTGGTTTAGATTGGTTTGCTTTATTTTGTTTTACGGCATATCAACCTCAATGGGTCATTTAATGCCGACAACATTTTTAGGATAGATTCGTGTGAATAGAATATGTATTCTTTGGTTTAGATTGGTTTGGTTTATTTTGTTCAACGGAATATCAAACTCTATGGGTCATTTAATGCCGACAAAATTTTTATTGCTGGTAATATTTTGTTTTGTCAAAAATCTGTTTCTGGTAATATATTTCCTTCAAAAAAGTATTACTGGTAATAGTTAAATATTTAACTATAGCTGGGACCCTAACAGGTGCCACCACCCCGGGTCAGGGTGGACATGGGAACGCCAACAATTAAGAAGTGTTTCCACGCTCCTCAAAACATCCTGATCAGAGCCCTAGCTGCTGGACGTAGATTACGTCTTATCCAGGACGCGTATGTAGTTTAACGTCTTACCCAGGACGCGGATGTAGTTTAACGTCTTACCCAGGACGCGTATGTAGTTTAACGTCTTACCCAGGACGCGGATGTAGTTTAACGTCTTATCCAGGACGGGGATTTTCGGTGGTATCCTGCTTTGTGATTGTTCTTCTAGTGGACGGTTCTCTTTTGGTATGTGATTCTTGAAATCTTGATATTCTTCGTCCAGATCTTCTTATTTCTCTCAGTGGCAGAAAGACACCTTTGTGAGACATTATGATTAAAAAGGAACACTTCAGTGTTTCCCAGTCAGGAAGATTATAAACTCTGAAAAAGAAACAAAACAAAAAAACATGCGCGCTTTTCCCATTGGCCTTATCTACTGATTTATTATTCTAAAATACAATAATTTCGGTATAAGGCCAAAAAGGGGAACTCAGGTGAGAATAGTCATCATTAACTATTTTATACCTAGCTAACCCATTCATTGTTTAGAAATAACTCATTCACTACAAAGACGTCCTTCACTATTTACTACTACATGTACCATAATACACCATTCGCCTTATCAAGATGACATCCAACCAGCGCCCGCTCATATATTTCCATAAAATGCGCGCCTTGAAAATCAAAAAAAGTTCTAGAAAGCTCCAAAAGTTCCGTGAAGGCCTCCCAAAAAATTTAGAAAGCTTTATAAAGTTCTTGAAGGTTGCAGAAAGTTCTCGAACGATCTATAGAGTTCTAGTAGTCTCCAGGTAAATTTTCACGGTTACCGAAAATTCTAGAATGGACAAGAACGTCTTCCATACTTATATACAGTTTATAAATTTCGTGTTCGGAGGTGACATATTTAAAAGATAAACTAAATGAAATCCTTATATATATAGCTAATATAAGTAGTAAATATACACATACATATGCAAAATATATAAATATATATACATAGGTGCATACACATACATATATATTTTTGGAATAAAAATTCCAAGAGGGTAGAATCCAGGTAGAACTCAATATCCAGGACAGAGTAAGGATATAATAAAAAGACTTAAACACTAATATTCCATGGTCATAATTTATTCCATTGGAATCGTAAATACGATCTAATTCATCAGACCTACAAATTCAAAAAAAGAAAACAGAAAAAACAACTCCGGAAATAAAAATAGAATTTAGAGAGAGTGTAAGTATGAGAGTGTGGGACGAATGTTAGAGCTAAAGAGAGGGGTAACAGACGAGAGAAGGTGGAGATTAAAACTTAACACTTCTCTCTGTCAAGTTTTAAGCTTTTCATTATATATATATATATAATACAACTTAAAACCATATTTCTTCATATATATATATATATATATATATATATATATATATATATATATATATATATATATATACATTATACTATTTACAAACCTTCTTAGGCATTGTATTTTAAATAAATTTAACTAACGTGATTATGAAAATAGATAAACTTGTTAAATAAAAAATAATAGAAAGTGTTATGAATATGAAATAAAAATATAAAATCAGTTTTAAAAAAAGTAAAATAAAATATAAAGCTAAGTTTAAAATGTAGCCAGGGTAAGAGAGAAAGACAGATGCACGTCCGTACCCCCGTTGAGGTACGCAGACACACATACACAAGCGTTCACCCAACTGTACCTTGCACCCTTCTTGCGATTCTACCCACACTTGGTTTCGATCGGTCAATATATGGCGATTTTAGAGGTAGTGGCGGACGGACTAACGGATGCCATAGAATTTTATATATAGATAGATAAAGTAATAATAACCCCCATCTGACATAGAGATTATTTTTACATGCTTATCTTAAAGATCATTTCCCTAATGAAGTGAGATTGTTCCTCACTGATTATCTCATTCAAGGGGTTCAATTAACCTAATATTTTAACATTAACTTTATGAACTAAAGAAGAATATTTTACCGCTAATGATTGCGAGAAACAATTTAACAAAGAAACAAACACACATGTTGTTGGAAATATATTGCCTTCCTGAAATACAAAATATACGGCCATATCACGTTGAAAGATCGGTTCCTATACGATCGGCGAAGTTAAGCAACGTCGAGCCGGGTTAGTACCTAGATGAGTGACCTTTTGGAACTAACATCTGCTGTAATCTTTGGTATGCAGGTGGACAACGGCTTGTTATTGAAAATCGAAGAACCGAGTTTCATTTCCAGTTGGATTCGTTTCAATTACTTACACGCAAATACTGTTACGAAATGTATTAACAGATTTCTTCTTCTCCAGCTATGGGTTAATTAGGAGAACATGTATCAGTAAATCATTATCTCCCCCAAATTTGTTTAATCTAAAAGTATTTTCTGTCTTTAAATAATCTGAATCAATCAATCAATCAATCAATCCTGAAATACGAGTTTCTCCGCAGATTTACCCAAAGAATCAATGACTAAGCGAATACACTGGATCTGAAATTGCTAGATAGCGACGAGTCAAAAAATTATATGGCTTTCTTTATTTAAAGTCGTCAGATCAAGACTTTCACACGGATTTCATGGGTAGCATCAAATTTGTATAGAAATATGAAAACTGCCTGCAGTATACAATCGCTTTCTCTGATCGATGGTTAAAGGCGGCATCTAACGAATGAAGATTGTAGGTCTTAATGAGGACCATCCTTCTTCGAACGTCGTGAACTGGCGCTATAGAATCAAAAAGAATTGTACCAAATAACAGAAACCATATCACTTCAGAAGTTTCAACGACAACAAAGCACGTGTAACGTGAAGAGAAACTAATGACGTCATCAAGATGTTGACGTTTCACACTACTTCAAACAAATGGTTAGAAAGGAAACCCCCAACAGTACTGGAAAGAACGAACACAAGTACACATCAAGTTCTCCAGACCAACTGCAATCTTCAGCTGAGCGCCATGCTTCAGCAAGTTTTCGGTCCATTAATCTCAGTAACTTTCCACATGGTGGGTTCGTATCAGCTGGATGATGTTACGTTGCAACCGGTCTATGTTAATTGAATGCGACTTGATAATAATAACCCCATCTGACATTTTTACAATTATTTTTACATGTTTAGATTGAAGGTCATTTCCCTAATGACTATATAACTCATGACTATATTATCCCATTCAACGGGTTCAATTAACCTAATATTGTAACATTAACTTTATGAACTAATAACAGTTACTGAACATGAGAAACCCATTTTCCTAAGAAATTGATTTAAAAGAAAGTTTTTTATAAAATTCAAAAGAAAGTATCTCTTTGGTCTCTGAATGCTGAATATTTCATTATAGTGATAACGGCTAATATTAACATTACCGTTAGAGATGAGCAGAACAGATACTACATTTTGATCCCAGGCCGATGTGTGAAGAAACGTTTAACGAGTAGCAATGGCTGTTCGCTCAAAAATGACGAATGTTTACTTATAAGGGAACGGCAAATATTTACATTATCATTACAAATGAGGAAAACAGTTACTGCATTTGGATCTTACCCCCACTCCACGATGAAGGGATAGGGGACAGAACTAGTTTACAGAGGGGTGCTCAGAGCGTTCACATGTACCGAGGCCCCAAATTGCCTCGTCCCTACAACCAACGTCCTCCTGGCGTCGATATTTCACCGAGCCTCCATCTTTGGTGCAAGAAGGGAGGTGCTGTCGCAGGATTGGAATCTCCGGGACCAGGCATCCCTCATTTATTTGTTTTGTTCTGTCAGAATATAAAACAACAAATTCGAGATGAAATGTAGCCTCTCTGCCCGAAGGTAGATTGTATTTACGTGTCGCTCCACACCGGCAAGCTGACAGAAGGCAAGTTTAATGTAAGGAGAAGAAACGCGTGTACTCAGGCCAGGTCCTAATCTATCCCAGCATTCCGCAAGCGTCTGCAAACGTCGGTTTCGCTGGCATCGTTATTACTATCGATTCTTGCCTCATTAGTGCAATCAGGGAGATACTGTAGCAGGCAGCTGTTCCCCGAAACCGGGTATATCTTAATAATCTTTTTTGTTTCGCTTTGACGGATCTGTCTGAGGACAGAAACACAATTGAGAAATAAAATGTATGTTTTCCGCCCAAGGGTAGATAACTACACTTACTGTTTACTTACCGCCCCACACTGGCAGGATATGAAACGATATCAGTTTAATCTGGCAGTCCCGAGTTCATACACACTGGCCAGATTAAAAAAAAGCCCAGCTCGCGCAACTGTCGGTTATACTGGAATCGGTATTTCTACCGACCCCTTCTTTAGTTTAATAAGGAAGTGCTCTCAATAATATTTCCACAAGCTGAGACACAACTAAGTTGCATCCTGACCGAAGAGAGAGAGACACAATTGAGAGATAAAATCTAGTTTATCCACCTAAAGGCAGTTACTACACTTTGACCCCAGTTCGATTATCAGGGAATAAAGAAAAGCGTAATTCGACTAGAACTGGTTACTCAGTCAATGAATGCCGAATGTTTCCATGTAATTGTCTTTGCCATAACCATTATATATATATATATATATATATATATATATATATATATATATATATATATATATATATATATATATATATATATATGCAGAAACATACAACTATAAACAAAGATATTTTAAAATATTCACGAACATCTAACAAGACACAGAGAAAGATATTATCTTATTTAACGTTTCTAAATAATGGACTTAAATTTTCTTCAACTGTCGATGGCATGCATTTATTTAAAATTGGACATCAACTTGCCAAAGAGTGACCTACACTCTTGAATACATGACTTTCAAAACATATATGGAATCGGGTTGCAGATATATATATATATATATATATATATATATATATATATATATATATTAGCAGCATGGCCCGGCGTTGCTCGTGCTTGATTCAAAAATCGCACGACTCATACAGCAATCGCTATCACTTGACTTAAAATATTTTTGCCCTTCCTTACATTTAAAGGAGTGCCCTTTGCCATGCTGATGTTGCTACATGCCTTACTTCTTGCCTATCTCACACTGAAAATTTTTGCTAAGCTCTATACTAAACATTAAATCTGTTACGAAAAAAGAACTAAACAAAATGAACACAAAACGATCAGCTTTAAAAAAGGACTCGTAACTGGAAAAAACCGAATGAAAAAAGAATGTAACAACAAATACTTTTTCACACCCAACCCAGTTCTGCGGAATCAGAATCAACGTTGAGTTTAAGCAAGCGAATGAGGCAATTGGAGTAAAGTGCCATGCAGATTTAAATATTTCCCACTTGTGATGAATGCAGCTATCAATTTTTTTGCATGCTAGTTAACATTCGTGTCAGTCAGCTGTTGGCTCTCACGCTGGCCAATAGAATATTCCTGCCTATTCGTGGCAGCCAGCTATAGGCTCTCACTCTGGCCACTAGAAATTGGCCGCAAAATACATGAAAACTGCCGTAGAAGCATGAAAAATCGATTATTTCCACTATCGATGGGGGTTGGTAAATGCAAAGTCGGTCATGGCCTTTCTACTAACTTGGAGCATGTTCATGTAAATTTTGGTACAAATCCGTCGAAAATTGCGGCCGTGCATTCGTTACACACACACGCACACATCCTGCTTATATATATATATATATATATATATATATATATATATATATATATCCGGCTTTCACGGCCCCGAGCCCCCCATGTCACGTACAAAAGGGTGGCATCCTCATTACCTTCTTATTCCACGTTCAAGGAGGAAATTCCCTCCGGGAACACCATCCTTTTCCTTAAAACTCTCACCTGCTGTAACAGACGCCTGAGGACGTAGAGGACGTATTCCCGATCACAATAACTTCAATTTTTCAAGTCCAGAGGCAACATTTCACTATTCTACAGATCATAATAATATGCTCTTAAAATACTTAACACAACGCTATGCAGTAATTTATTAACTTGAATGGCTCTAGGGCCTTATATTGGAAGAACAAAATTACAACACGCACAGGCATATATATATATATATATATATATATATATATATATATATGTATGTATATATAAATTTAACACCCTTGGGCGCTTAGACTTGGAGTGGGTAGAATGGCGATCAACATATTTTAGTGGATTCAGCAATTTTCAATCTGCTTGTCTGAATCCTCTTCAAGAAGCGAGAGCAAGAACTAAAAGGTCAGCCAATCTAACAGTGATCTCATCCCACAATCCTCACTCTTGCTCCATATGTGGACTCCTTTGTAAATCACTAAGGAGCCTTAAATGCCACTTAGGATTATCGCACAAAATTTCATAACTAAATCAACGAAGCAGTCAGATCCTCATACGTCGAAGCCCACGGGAGAGAGAATCCATTGTTATATATAACTTTAAAAGTTAGGAGATCAGTTGATTTCGCTACCTTGGTTTTAATCTTACGGTATTCTCAGGGGATTTTTATAAATTGAATCTCCAAAACAAAAAAAAAAAAACGAAAAAAAAATGGACACTAAAAATCGCCTTAGGATGCTGTAAGACTGAAACAAAGGTAGCGAAGTCAACTAATTTCCTAATTTTAAAAGTTTAAAGCTCTATTTTTTATTTTTATTTCCGCCCTGGGTATGACGATAAACTACATCCGCCTCCTGGGTAAGACGATAAATTACATCTGCGTCTTGGGTATGACGATAAACTACATCAGCCTCCTGGGTAAGACCATAAACTACAGGCAACAGCAAGGCTTCTGATCAGGAGGTTTTGAGGAGCGTGGAAATATTTCTTAATTGCTTGTGTTCCCAGGTCCGCTTTGACCCGGGGTGGTAGCACCAGGTAGAACCACAGCTATGGGAAAATAAACTGGGGTTAAAACACTATGAAAGCGTAAGAATAGTTTTTAATACCAACAATTACTTTTTTTTTTTTTTAAATTCTTACCAACAATGAATTTTTGAAGAAAAAATTATTGCCAGCAAAGCATTTTTGAAAAAAACAAACAAACACTAATACATTTTTGAACAAACTATTGCCAGCAATAAAACTCTTGTCAGCATCCCATTGAGATTGCTAGATCGTAAAACAAAACAAATTTATTTTTATTTTTTCACACGTGTTGTGCATTTATTAATGCGTACTACTGTTCCCCTGGTCCAATACATCCTTGACTATTAACCCACATTAT